GCCGCGTTGGAACCGATACCTAACTCAGCCATGCCACCTAAACCCTAAACCTAAACCCTAAACCCTAAACCCTAAACCCTAAACCCTAAACCCTAAACCCTAAACCCTAAACCCTAAACCCTAAACCCTAAACCCTAAACCCTAAACCCTAAACCCTAAACCCTAAACCCTAAACCCTAAACCCTAAACCCTAAACCCTAAACCCTAAACCCTAAACCCTAAAGTCTTCCTCTTCTTCGTCATCTTCCCTCATCTCCACCCGCAGTCGGTCCTTCTTGTCCACCTTCAGCGAGCAGGCCAGCACATGCATCTCTGCGAATTTACTCAGTGCTATGAACAGGAAGCTAAGAGATCGACGCTCTATGTCGTCGCTCTCCGCCTCCTGCTCAAGCTCAGCAGCTGCCGTTGCCCGTGGCGAGAACGCGCTGCCCCTCCTTGCCTTCTTGCTCTCTCCCGCTGACCAGCCGCCTCAGGCTCCCTGTCGAAGCCGACTGCTTCGAGGTGGCTGCGCCTTCGAGATAGAAGGGCAGCTCCTTCATCATGCGTCGCTGAGCATCCTCCGTGGAGCCAAGGAAGATGCATAGCTTGGACCCGTTCCAGGACTTAGTGTTCAAATCCTCCTCCATGTCGATGCCTTCAACTTTGATCTCGAGCCTGTTAGCGATCTCCAACACTGAAGACTCTCTTGACTAAACCCTAAACCCAAAACCCTAAGGCAAGGCTCCCTCCCTTGCCCCAAGGTCCGGAGTCCTCGCTTGGCTCGAAGCTTGAAGGACCGGTCGTGTGCTATGCTTACCTCTGTGGCTCGGAACGCTCTCCCTTCGATGGTGTATTCTCTCCTGCCTTCCCATAGCTCCTTGGCTGCTTCATTCCGAAGGAAGGAGACGGTGACTGAGATGTCGTCTGCTCGCCGTCGTGCTATCTCAGGTCTGCTAGTAAGGTGCTTCCCTGCCTTGCTTATCCTGGTTGCTTGCTTTTGGGATTTCCCTTTTGATCTGTCCCGGCCTCGTTGATCTGTAGGATTCAAGCTAAAGCTTTAGCAGGCCTCAGTGGGCCCGCTTCAGAACAATCCGACGCGTCCTGAGGTAAAGCGGTAGGATATTTTCCTCCTTCTTATCCTCCCAAAGTACTATAAGTTTTGTGTGGTTCAGCTTATAGGGCAGGGACGCGCCGAATGAAAAAACATGGGGTCGTGACCGAAAAAATTTGATGAGTCACGTTACCTCTCGGTTGTGATATGGAAAAAAAAAGTTGGTCCTTTGGAATTAGCAAACTAGGGTCCCCAAAATGAAAAAGTACTATGAAATATTTAAACTTACCCGAAACCAATGAAATTGGCAAACTCTTCTGATTTTGTTCGCCGACAACAGCATTTTTACCATCATCATTCAGGCAATTTTGAAAATATTCAATACTATTTCATATTTTTGAAGTTCTATCCCAGGCACTACCAAAAACTATTGCCCCCTCTACCCCCCACAATAAGCTAGAAATCGAACTACCCGTCGCCATTCGACACGAGCAGTACAAGAGTAATGCTACCCCTACTGTATTATCTTAAGACCCCTATTTCCCATATGACGGGTACTGTTAGACCACCCCTATCTGCCAATTTGTTTACTACGAAAACTCTTTGTTGAGATTACTGTCGGCTGTTTTTGTACGGCAATAACCTGGTACATTGGATTTGTACGCATGTGGTACAGACAATCTTAGTTTATGCCCACTGTTTGTATATATATTTGTACCTGTATACTTTTTTCTCTACCCTGCCATCACTTCTACTGCACTTTCTAGCACTTTTGATTCCACTAGCCCAGGAACATGACCCCACCCCCCGATACATCCACCCACCCTAGCTCAACTCCTTCCGTCTTGAAGCCGACACATACTGGTTTAAAAAATTGACGGAGGATGGATGAGCCACCTTGACGATTGTCATCACATCTTCTCTATCGGCATCCTCTCCTTCATACATCTGCCCTGATTTCGACGCGATGTGTTCCAGCAGAATCATATCCAGTTGCTGTCTGCTCGGGCCTACTTGAGAACTGACGTAAATATGCCTGTCTGAAAGTTCTGTGGCTGCACTACAACCTTCGGATCTGAGCTTTACAAAAGAATACTGGAAAGAAATCCGCTATCCATTTGTGACAATTTGATCTCTGTCTGCTCATTTGGAAACCACCACAAGAGAAGCAATCCGTGATCAATTATTTCCTTAAGCAAATTGGTGTAAAAATGATGAATCAGAGATGTTGCCGGATATGCTTTGAATCGGAAGGGGAGGACGTTGAAGGCGGAGAGGGAAGAAACCCATTGATTTCTCCGTGTGCATGTAGAGGATCGCAAGAATTTATACATAGGTCATGTTTGCAACAATGTCAACTGGCGGACTTGGCAAGAGGACAAGATAAGATATGCAGTGTATGCAAGCACGAGTATAGTATTCAACTGGAAGGACAGTTTGGATTAGATTTGAAGGTAGGAAAATTTCTGGTCGCTTCACATTCAGCAACTGGCTCTTTAGCTCGTAGTGTGATCCTGCTTTGTGAGTACAGCGCAAGAGTGATGGGTGTCATTGTAACTCACACCTCAAGAAATCCAGATGCTGTCGCAGACCATCGTATTCGAACATTTCTTGGTGGGCCTGTTTGTGGTGGTAGATTTGGTGTCGTGCGATATTTTGTGCTGTGGTACGGGTCGGAAAACGGCTCTTCCTCGGACTATAAAATCCTTCTCGAGGGTACAGAACAGGACGTTGACGGATATCCAAGGAACTTATATCAGCCTGCAGAGTTTTCTGTCGCTTGTGATCATGAGACCGTTCGATGGACAATGAACATTCTTGAAATGAACAAGAACAATCAAGCATTTATTTTCAAAGGATATTGTGCATGGACGCAGCAGCAACTCAGAAATGAGATATTCAGGGGAATGTGGGGAGTTGCTGAAGCGAGGATGGATGATCTCTTACATTTTGAACCTGGAAATCTTTGGAATATTCTGAATGAAGAAAACAGAGTAACGTGGCCTCCTCAAGTGCAGAGGAGCCGACATTCAAGTGAATTTTAGGCGTGAATAAAAACATTTGACGTGAAAATCAAATGTCGCTGTAGGCTTGTTGTAACATCTTCGTATAGCAAATAAACTGAATGGTCATTCGTGTACTGGTTTCCATGATCAAAGCTAAAACTTGGGTTGGATTCCATTTCGGGATTCAACCAAATTTGCTTTTTTGGGGCAAACAAGCTTAAAACCCCGTTCCAAATTCATCGTCACCTTCTTCGCGACAATAAGCTTGTTTCCACAGCAAGTGAGCTGATGTACCCATGTTTCTAAAGGCCAATCTGAGCTACAATCACAGTTCTACTGCTTCAATCTTTGCCGCAAACGAACATCCGAAAACCGACCTTTATACCTCTCTTCTCCTATTTATGCGCCGGATCTCTCTCAATCTGTACGTCTGGTCTGAGGTAAATCTGGTCTGACCAAAAGCCATAGACAGGCTCCAATGACCGGAGCGAGCATAAAGCTAAGGAAAAGCGGAAGGTCTCCAGCTTCTTTAAGCCATCCTGCAAGAAATGTCATCCATGGGATGAAGATAGAGTATACTACCCCTTCGCTTCATGTCTTCAAACAGTGGCTTGGAACTGAGAAGCCTTGAATCAACAAGTATTACGTCAGCTCACTTTGGACGTCTTGGCCGTGCTTACCATAAAAAAATGAAATCGCATGAAGACACGTTTACCAGCTTAATTGACCTGAAGAGCTCAATAAAGCCCTTGAAGTAAGAGTATACGAGGACATCAATGCTGTAATCAGATCCTCCATTCAAAATGTTTGGTGCAAAAAAGCCGGCTCCGTACGAATATAGCCCAACCTGACAGTGACAAAATTACAACTGCAGAAATCTATAGACCATTTACAGTGAAGATCAGGAGGCAAGCAGAAGTTATCTTGTTTTGAAAGAAACGGGAAAACATCGAATCTAGATGAAAAGATGAATTACTTTCCTTCTATTCTAGTGCATAAACGAAAACTCTACCTTTATCCGTTTCAGGGCCGTAGCTCGTCAGTGCCAGGTAAGGCGTCAGAGCGAAAGCACCCAGAGCGAATGACCCAAATATGAAGGGAGAAGCAGGAAGTTTCTGGGATATCGGTTTGAGCGGAAAGAGTAGAGAAGCCATCACTGCTGGCCAAACTCCAAGCAAATTGAAAACGGCAAAGAAGATCGGATTGATAGTCTGGAGCTTCGATGGATCCAGAACGTCGAGGAGAATTTGCTTTGAAGCTCCCTCGGTCACTTCTGGTGCAAAGAAGATGCCATATGACATGAAACAAGCCCATGCTATCAGCAAGCCATATCTTCTCACATTGTCGCTCTCATCCCTCTGGAAGGTTCCATCACGATCCATCTCCTGCATTTTGAGCTTCGCGGCTTGTCGCTGGTAAGGAGCTCGACAGGACACTCCTCGCAGCAAGGGAGAGTCACCATTTCTCCTTGCAAGACAATGACGAGCTTGAGTCAGACCTGATGGAAGGTGAGGGACAAACGCCCCGGCAGGACTGCCAACTCCTATCGCTGCCATGGCCAGCATGTTTATTATATGATGAGTGGGTGAGGCGGGCTGGTTCCCTGTGTGCGGCATGAGGGTGGAAGATGAAGGGGAAGTGAGGGAAGGAAGGTAGAAGTTGAAGCAGAGAGTGAAGTGTACATCAGATGCTTGTGTACCTCAGATGCTTGTGTACCTCAGATGCTTGTGTACATCAGATGCTTGTGTACCTCAGATGCTTGTGTACATCAGATGCTTGTGTACATCAGATGCTTGTGTACATCAGATGCTTGTGTACATCAGATGCTTGTGTACATCAGATGCTTGTGTACATCAGATGCTTGTGTACATCAGATGCTTGTGTACATCAGATGCTTGTGTACATCAGATGCTTGTGTACATCAGATGCTTGTGTACCTCAGATGCTTGTGTACATCAGATGCTTGTGTACATCAGATGCTTGTGTACATCAGATGCTTGTGTACATCAGATGCTTGTGTACATCAGATGCTTGTGTACATCAGATGCTTGTGTACATCAGATGCTTGTGTACATCAGATGCTTGTGTACCTCAGATGCTTGTGTACATCAGATGCTTGTGTACATCAGATGCTTGTGTACATCAGATGCTTGTGTACATCAGATGCTTGTGTACATCAGATGCTTGTGTACATCAGATGCTTGTGTACATCAGATGCTTGTGTACATCAGATGCTTGTGTACATCAGATGCTTGTGTACATCAGATGCTTGTGTACAGATGCTTGTGTACATCAGATGCTTGTGTACATCAGATGCTTGTGTACATCAGATGCTTGTGTACATCAGATGCTTGTGTACATCAGATGCTTGTGTACATCAGATGATTCGTATCTCCAGTCTGACGCATGGAAGCATGGTCTCCTACAGCAGATCTTGTGAAGGCCAGGGAGTTATAGACGCAAGACCACATTCTCTGCGAATGCTCACCGTATTCTGACTCTGTTCTTGCTTTGATCTACCTTCCTCAAGTCGCTCTAGAGTGATGTTGTCGGCAGCTGAGATGGACTAAACGATGGAAAGGAGTTTGCCAGAATCACCCGCAACAAAGAGAACCAGAGTCGAACAGCAGGAAGAGTCTTCTGAACTCCCAGGTCCGCATATTTTCAATTTATATGTTTTCAAAGAGGATTTGAAATGACCTCATCACTCTAGCATGCAAGACTGCGAGATTGAGCTCAGAACCCCAGAGCGATGTTCTTACACACAATACTCAAGATCGGGAAACGAGGGACCAGCTCCTCCAACGTATGCAAGACCAAATCACACACTTGCAAAACACACTTGAGCTCTGCTTGTCCTACTCCAAGACATTGCACAGTTCTCATCAGATTTTGCAATCAAATCATCGGATCTTATCAGAAAGTCGGCAGCAACAGTGCGCACAGTCTTTGGACAAGGTGAGGAAGCTGTTTGTCCTACACGAGAATGTGATTTCATCTGAATCATTTTTTATGACACAAGAAGGAAGAACCTTCGCTCGACGCCTCTAGCACATCGATCAGTAGTGATCGTGAATCTCAGAGGATCTCTAAAGCTGAAGGACGATCTGACATCATCGTTCTGGATTCTGAAGATGAGTCTGAATCAGTGAACAACGACGTGAGTCGATGGTCCAAACGAGCCTGAAGACTGAAATTGAAGGACAGGCTCGTAATGATACAGATTCGACTGCAGCCATGCGTGAGACAGCAGAACCACCCAAGGAAGATGACGGTGAACTAGTATTGGTCTCAGCAACGGGCGGATCAGCTGCTGATCTTCCACATCCCCGTTGCTTGTGCCAACAAGCCAAGTTTATTCCTCACTGTTGTGAAGCTATACAAGATATTCCACGGGAAATAGAAGACACAAATAAGTATGAAATGTTTCTCTGTTTTGCCATTACTTGCTGAAAGATAGGCTGCAGGCTGTGTTGTCACAATTGTTATTGCTTTGTTTGTGATCGGAGAGCACACGAATGTCAACGCTGGGAGCGATACTCAGCCGATTCTGCAAATAAAGTTATGTGGAAAGACAACGGACACTGCAATGCGGACAGCAAGCATGAGGTTTGGAAAAGTTTGAGAAGCGTCTATCGTGTAGGACTGTTACCCTCAAGGTGTTTTGAAATTTAGTTGGTTTCACTAGTTTGACCCTTTCATTCATAGTATGATTGCAGATGTACTGAAACAAAGCCTAAAAGAAAGCCATCTTTGCGCAATATACGACGGGACTTTGAGAATACACCAAAGTTTTGTGCAATATCATCGCGGAGAAGAAGAAACTGTTTGGAATGAGGTGAGGAGACGTATGGAGGTTAAGACACGCCACAAACTACGTCATCTTGGCTCGTGTTTGATGCCAGTCGCTACTCATCTCAACCTACATATACCTGTGACATTGCACTGTGATGAAACTCAAAAGCTCATATCACAAGGCTCCCTTTCTGTCGATGAGGCCGCAGGATACATATGTGTGGTGGACGTGCTCATTGCCTCTGCGATGTCTGAAAGCATCTCTCTCGACCAAGCAGGAGAGGAAGAAATTGTCTCGATGAATGCAGCTTGGCAACAGTATCATTCATTTATCAAGTTTGCTTCCAACATCATGTCTACCCTTTTACTTATCGTTGCCATGAGAAAGGACGATCAGAAAGCAAGCGATAACGAAAATTGTGATGTCAATTGGAATAGGATATCCGAGGCATGCAAATCTAGATTTGAGCAATACTTGGAATTTACCAAGCAGTTCTTTGCACAACGTAATAGCAATGTGCCTATAAGCTGCCGACAACAAGTAGAAGACATATTCCAATTCCTTTTGAGGGTCTGTTCTGATGGATGGAGTCTCGAGGTTTCAGGTGAAGAGTCGAAGGCCTTGAAGCTGGCGAGATTGCAGGCATTGAGAGCAGGAGGAGAAGAGAGCGACTTTGAGCGCTTCGTTGCAAATGATACGAATCTTGATTGTATAAATTTGGACCTCGCCAAGGATTTGATTTCAAAGAATTGCATGAACCCTGCTTTGAACATCATATTTGCTCTCGCTGTTCCTGTTGATACTTTTTCTGAAACTGGCAAGAAGGGTTCAAGAAACTGGATGTCAAATGTACAGTTCAATGACATCTGGTCAAAAATCTGGAATATAGACCTTTCATCTGGCATGAAGTTTGCTTTGAGAAGTGCGATTGGTGACAAATTGCTCTTCAAGCCCAATCTAGAAAAAATGGATCCTGTTTTCAGTCTCCGTTGTGAATTGCTGAGAAAACAATTACAGAAGTGTGTAAGCGATCCAGTGACAGCGAATTCAGTTACTGGCAACAATTATGTTCCTTGCCTTGCGATTATTCCCAACACAGCGTAATTCTTCCTCATGGGATAAGTATACAAGATATCAGAAAAAAGGCGCAGATCTTTTTGAATAACACAGGCCTTACTGACTTTGAAGATGGTTCCAGTACCGATGAAATTCTGGAGAGGGAACACATCTATGGAAATTCATCAGTCGATAAGCTTTGGGTGATCGACGTTTGCATCCATGCGTTTGCAAGGCTACATGGCAGAAAGGATGTGAATCCAAACCTCTGTGATGAAGCGGAGCGCATGGCGGCAAACTTGCACTCTCAAGGAAATGCCCTCGCGCTCATCTCACTTCTCTGTGCTCTGAGCCCGAAGAAGTACGAGTCATCCCACAAAGTGTTTTTCCGTCGTCGGAATATATTGTCCGATGTCCTCAATTTAGCAGAGTCGAGGGATCAGCAGTCGAAAGCAGAGGTCGCCCCGTCACTTGGTGGAGGCACCACTACTCCGTTCCTTGAGGTGTTGATGTGGGCAGGACCAGGAGGACTAGATGCTGGTATGGGGGAGGATGTGTTTTATGGCTCGAGCAAGTGGTCCGTCGGAGAGGGCAAGGGAGCCATGATGCTAACCAAAGCTCTTGATGAGGAGACTCTGACAGAACTTGTGGAGGATGACTTCAAAGGAGTTGCATCTTCCGTCCTCTCTCTCGTACGATTCTGCGTTCGTCAAGCCCGTGAAGGAGATTTTTCCGCTTCTATTCGTCATGCGAATCACATTATGACGAAACTCAAGGAGATGAAGGAGAGCAAGTCTCCTGCGTTCAATCAAATCAAGCATAATCATAGGTTTTGGAGTGTGATGTTCAGGCTTGTTCCTGTCGCGATCATCCAGGAAGAAAAGGAGCTGGTAGAGACTTTAGTCTTGTGGTGTTTCAAGCATTCCCCTTCCACATCCTCGTGTATTGCTTTTCTCCATTACTCGAGCCTGGAAAAGATTCAATTTGTGCGGAAATTCATCCAGGGGAAAGACTGTCATTCAAAGGAGTACCCTCTGCTCTTTGGTTGTTCAGCTCTTATGGAAAGCAGAGGTACAGCTGAAGAGCAGCTGAAATCAGCCTGCAAAAGGCTGCCGCTCAAGCAGATCATCTTGGAGCTCAGGTCGCTCATCCTGGTCCTTGGGCCGCAGGCCTTGGAGGGCTGTCGAGGTGAGGGTGATGCGGAGGTACAGACCTCCTTCCTGGGATCGTGTCTGTGCATCCTCGTGGAGAACTTCAAGCACAGCAAATTCTTAGACACAGAACAACAAGTTCTGGAACTTCTCAAGGTCGGGGCCATGGTAGAACCTGGTTGCATTCAGCCATTGCTCGAAAAGCAAGTCAACGACGTTTGCATGAAGGTGCATCGTGCGTTGGAGTCAGGCAAGAGCGGGCCAAGAGATCTCAAGGATGGCTTTGCAAGTTGGCTCGAAAGGCTGAAAGATGTCTTCCATACTCGCCCGGCTGTTGCGAGCGATGTGGTTCAAGATCTCTGGCTCAGAGCTTCTCGTCGGTTTTCATTGCCAGGAGGTTCGGGACAGGACCTAGAATTTGCAGCCGCCAAGCAGGCCAAGACCAGCATCCGCATCCGAGGACCCTCTCTGAGCTCTGAGTGGGAGCATGTCGTGGGCGTCATAAAGGTAGTTCATTTCTTTGATGTCTCTTTGACTTCCGCCTGCAGATCAAAGTTGGCAAGAGGGCAAATCTCGTGCGAGACCTGAGAGGTATGGGCTTGCTGTAGATGATAATTTTTGCTTTATTGGCCGTCTGGCTGCAACGAATGGACGGGGTCAAAAACTCGACCACGTCTGACAGTAATTTACTTTTGCTTTACTGAAATTCTTATGTGTATGTTGATAATCAAATCAAGCGTCGATGGGCCAGATGTACTTTCTTATGCCAAACCATTGACGGATGTAGTTCCGAAATTTCTTCGCCTCTCTTAGCCAATATATTGCTTCTTCTGCTGCATCCTGTGCCAAAATTTGGGTATTTCTTGCTTTCTTTGCAGTTGCTGTAACTGTTGCAAAAATATTTCGAGCAAGCTTTGCATAAGCTTCTCCATCTTTTGCGTTCTCATGAGCTTGCGATTCGATTTTCTCCCAATCTCCTAACTTGTCATACTCTCTCGTTCCAATTAGTTTTCCTTTGCTGTAGATCTGAACAATTTTTTGGGCTTGAAAACCGAAGCTATTCATTCTTACAACCTCTCCATCCAGCTCGTTCCGTACCCACTTCCCAACAAACTCCCACCCGTCGGAAGCCCTCAGGATGCCCCATCCATGTAGCTCACCGTCGGAATATTCTCCCTGCCCCTGCGCATGAGATGACGGCAAACGATGAGCACACAGCACCTGGTGCTTCGACCCATCATTGAAGATGGTCCTGCCATGCCCATTCGCCAGGCCTTTCGTAAACTTCCCTTCGAATTTGTCTCCTGCATTTTCACCAGCTAACCTTCCCCAGCTGTACACCTGCACGTTGAAATCAATGAACCCCTGTCTCCTACAGAACCCACGGACCCCTATGCCATCCTTGTGGTCGACCTTCCATGTGCCGATGTAGAATTCTCCGTCCTCATAGGTCAGCACTCCCTTTCCATGCATGTAGCCTCTCATCCACTCTCCCATGTACACGCCCCCTGGTTTTTCGCCTCTGGCTGAATATTTGTAAACTCCGATGCCCTGGCGCAGACCAGCAAAGTAGGTTCCTTCGTATCTTATACGGAACTTCATCAGCGGTCGAGAAAGCTTGAACATCGAAGCTTACACATCCCCCCGGAACGATCCATGCTCGCCATACTCATACACTCCGTAACCTTGCTCTTTTCCTGCGGGACTCTTGAACATGTGCTGTGAGAAGATAAAGTGTCATACCTGCTTGCCATTCTCCCATATATATGTCGCCGGAAAACCATCGGAACACACCATGTCCGTTGGGTTGATCTTCTCTCCACAATCCGTAGTAGCTTTCTGTTGGTTCAAGTCAGTCACTTGACTCTTCCCGAATGACAACCTCCTCCTCCTAGCGGTGGGTCCGGCCACCAACATATTCCTCTACCGTCCCTTCTTCCTTTCCCATCGTAGTCCCCCCAATAGCGGATCTTCTTTCTTTGTACGCTCTTGTAATACAATCCTTCCGAGAAGATTCGTCCGATGAAAATTTCTCGCTTCGAAGAGATGTAATTTTGTATCTCTTCCCTTCTGTATGTCTTCCACTCTTTCGGTGGTGCACTCTCGCCCTTGAAGAGCCAACGTAGACATTCCATCAATCCAGACTTCTGACTCTCATCGACTTCATTCTCAGCCGTGTCTTCGTTCTCTTGTTCAATCCTGAAATCTAAACCAGGATTAAACATGTTCTGAACCACGACAGAAGAGACATGTACCTATTTCCTCATGTCCAAGGCTCTCGTGTTGCTCTCCATGAAGCCTATTCAGTTCACCCCGAGCAATGCCAAGCGCATCAAGATCACTCATGTCAGTATTTTGTGTCTCTCGCTTCTTGGCTCTCTTTTGCTGCCGTTTTTCCAGCCGCTTTTGTTCAAGAGCTTCTCTTTCTTCCGCTCGAGCCATGTCTGAACAAGTAAAATCAGAAACTTGAACACCATCAAGTTGAGCGACTGAGGCACACCTGTCCGCAACTCGATACCCGGGACAAATTACCTATGGCTGATGTTCGACTGGGGTTGAAGCCTTGCAAGTTTATTTCTTATTTCGCCCTCCACAGCTTCGCGTGATTGTCTTGCTTATGGCTTGACTCCATATCAATCAGTGTTCACCATGACGGTGGCAGCATGGCAGGCTTGTTCTCAGCAGGCTCCCCGATTTGTGGCGCCAACGGCTGTTACTGCTCGTGTACCACCTCCCCTCATCAGCCCGGCCCGCCGGCATGGGCCCTGCCAGAGTCCGACTCCCGGAGCCGGGCCGGGGGCGGGCTGATGGCATCATCAGTGACTGGGCCGGGCGGCGACGACGGTCCGACGGTCCCAGTGTGACTTCCGACGCCTCCGGGGCCCCAACGGTGTGGCCGCCACTGGCGTACGATGCCCCGTCACTGCGGGTCCCAACTCGCCCGGAGGCTACGGTCCCCGGGCCGCCCAGTCACCAAGTTGAAACCGTCTGGCGGCAGCGAAGGTCGGACAGGGAGCCCTTGCCTCGGAGCTGACCGGACGAACTTTCACTTGTGAACCGGCCCTTGAAAGATCCTGCTTACAGTGCTGTTGTCCTCGTACTGATTTTTCACTTAATTTTGAGTAAAGAACGGGTACCCGGTCTTTCTGTACCCGGTCAGTACGGTCAGTCGCAGAGCAGCTGTGAGGGGGGGTTGCACAATTGAACTAATATAAAACGTTCCTATACATGTAATATATATAATAACAACAAAGGTACTAAAAAGTATAAAAATAACAATTATACTCACTGTAGTGATTCATGGTTTGATAGTGGTGAGGCGCTGGGTTGCAAATTCCATACAAATCTCTTGGATTCTAAAAACATTTATTTTAAGCTTGGTAGATGCACCCTATTTTAGTTCAAGTTACAACAATAATTAGATTTACAGTGCAACGGCCCCACCATGCAGGAAGGGCTCAGGTGAGCATACAGCAGCACTATGGCGGAGAAGTGAGAGGCAGAACAGAGTACGACAGATGATGGCATAGCAGGATATGGCTTGAGCAACCGAAGAAAGAGGAGGGCACCTGGAGGAGGGCAGAGCAGAGCAGGGAAGAGGTTAGAAGTAAGGAAGGGCATGAAAGAGCCATGATAACGATTGTAGGGATGGGAAGGAATAGGAGAGTAGATCAGTTGGGACAAGAGATGTTTTGCTTGAGGGGTTAAGCGTTCAAGTATTGACAAGCTGAAGATGAGACCTGATAGAGCGAAGCTAGTTGATGCGCAATTGATGTCATTGCGTACAATTCAATTTCGCGAGTCGAATTGGCGTCTGCTTGCCTGAAATGAGTGACTGAAAATTAAATGTACTTAGACATCTTAGTGACTGTTTGGACATCAATGCATATGAATAGCATCGCACATGTAATCTCTGACTGGTCTTGCTAGCAGCATGAGGGTCTGTTGTATCTTTCTTCCGTGACACTCTCGGCATAATGGAAGAAACTTTTGAGGGCCACGAGCTTGAAGCTCAATTTTCTGATGGCGCTTGGTATGATATAAAGATGAGAGCGGCCGACCCGTCAAGAGACAGGTTTCTAGTTCAGGTCCACAACTTCACTCAGATTCTTTTAATCCTGACTACACCTTCGCTGCAGGCGCGAGATTTCCCAGATGAGGAAGAGTGGGTTGAAGCAAGTCATCTTCGACGACAGTCGCAACCGTACGATAAACCCCCTAAGGTGCTGGTATGTGCTCAGCAATGCTTGTACTCAGGTCTTCCTGTAGGTTGGGTCGACGGTCTTGGCCCTCCACAGATCTACCCGTTCAGATCTATTTTTCGAAGGACTGGTGAAAGAAGTGACGTGCGAGGATTTTTGCAGAATTCAATTCGCTGATGGAAGAGTGAAAGGACAAATTCACAAAGTGTCTCTGGACGACGTCAACAAGATCTCGACAGAGAGTCTTTCGATCTCCTTCTTGAGGAGCCTCTGTAAGACTCAGGAGAGTGGTCGGCCACAAAGTAAATCTCAAGTGGTGGATTTTTGTGAGGGAGATTTTGTACTGATCGAGGGGCCTGACGAGGTCTGTTGGGTTGCCCAACTCATGGAGCCATACAGGGGAAAACTGAGCGACGAGATTGATGACGTGGACGATGACGGACCTATGGTTAGTGTGCGATGGTTCTACAAACCAGGAGAACTTCCCAAGCATGTCTTGAGATCTTGTGGCGATGTTGACTGGACTCACGAGGTTTTCGTGTCCCTTCATCGCGATAAGATCGATGGGAGGCTAATCATGGGCAAGTGCAGCTGCTGCTTCGGCTGGGAGAGACCAGATGCAAACTTTGAGTGGATGAATGATCAGCTGTTTTCTTACAGGACGTGGGACCCGAGCAAGAAGAGAGTATCTACCTTCAATTGTCCTCTGCTAGCAGATGAGCTGCGACGTCAAATCGAGTTATGGATCAGGAACTTCCCCTACCCCAGCGCCTGCCGCTCGTCTGATACTGCAAGACGAACGTATTTCGACCTTGACGGGAACGTGCGATCGAGATCGCCGGAAGAAGCCAAGATGAAGCTCACTACCATAGGAGGTGATAAAAGCTCGAGGAGTGGACATGAAGACGGTTTGGACGACAAGCCAATCAAAGAGGAAAGGCAGAGGAAGCTACCCGCAGATCAGAATCGAGATCGCTCGTACGAGAGAGAAGTAGAAGGAAAATCTCCCAGTGGTATTCAGAGCAGCTTACAGCGCACAGAGAACCCCTCAGGAAGCAACGTTACCGAGTCTGCTTCTCAAGAACCACGCGAAACGAAGAAGAAGCACAACCGACCAGGAAGCGCCGAACTAGCAGCTCTGCAGGAAGACATCAGGAACTCCAAGAAGATCATCGTGGAGGAGGGGACGAAAAGACATTGCAAGCTTCCAAACTTCTTCACTTTCGATGAGCCGGCCCCCAAAAAACCAGCAAGACCGGCAGAAGTGAATTCGAACCACTCGCTGAGGACCAAAGATCATAATAATCATCGAGATCAACTGCACAAAGAGCAGAGTCAGAGGGATCAACAACCTTATCCTAGTGAACCGTCTAAGACCAGGACAAGGTCGCATGCTTCCGAAACAGCACCAGAATCTCAACAAGCTGTCAAGACCGAACCAGACGACGAGACTGAGAGCCGGGCGAACAAGAAGCCCAAGAAAGACAATAAGAGCGACTCTTCGAGATCTGCCAGGTCGGACTCTGACGAAGCCAAGGAGGTGGAGCTTCCTCATGCAGCAGGACAGTCAAGTGAAGTCGAGGGACAAGCAGAGAATGGAGGGAGTGAGGAGGTGGCAAAGCAACCTGAGGATGAAAGTGAAGAAGTACCAGCCCACCATGTGATTCGAATCAAACTGCATCGCAAAGAAGGAGACAAGCAGGAGACACACGCGGATGACAGCCTGGAGGAAACCGACGGAGTTATCCCGGCCATGGCAAGGAAAGAAGATGAGGAGAGAAGAGATGATGATGAGGATGTCAGGATGGCGGAGGATGGCGAATCTCAACAAATACTGAAGGACAGGAAGCACAAGAAGGACTCGAAGAAGAAAAAGTCAAAGAAGTCCAAGAGCAAGCGACGAGACCGCGAAGATGAGGCTCCTTCGAGAAGGGTCCAGAGTCCGAAGAGCATGGAGGACGACTTTGACATGATTGGAGAGCATGGAGAGGAAAGGAGGTACGCTGAGGACGAGCAGGATGTGAACGACAAAGGAGCCGTCAATCTCTTCATCCTCGAGGGCTTCAAGATTGCGTGCATGAAATTCTTTCGTGAAAATCAGCACAAGTCAGTCGCCTACTTCCTTCATCAAAGCTCATCAGACGTCTCGACTCGGATCTCTTCCTCTGTCGGCATTTCCCATGGTTTCCGCAGCTCAAGTCTACATGCGCAGTGCGCTCGCTTCCTCAAGAATTTTTCGCGCGAGAAGAAGGTTGATGTAGCTCCTCTCCAGCGGCTTCCCTCTCCCCTATCCTAATATTTTCCTCGCTCACCTTGCACACATCCTTTATTTCACAACTTCTCTTTCAGCCTGACCTTGAATACAGCAGGTGATCGCAGCCATCATTGTGGTGGAGGAGAATGATCTGCACTATCCTCATCTTCCTGATCTGCACTGCTCCCCTCAAGACACGTATGGCAGCGGCCTTGTCATCCAGATAGAGACTAAGGGCATGAGGCGAGTGTGGCATGTGTGCAGGCACGAGAAGATCGTTCAGGACGTGAAGATGCGGGAGCTCAGCCTCGACAATGCCATCATGCCCTCCATCCTCTTTTAACAGTCTCAGCTGTTCATGAAACTTACAAACACATCCCTGATCCCTTCCTCTCCTCACCAAAAACTAACGCTTAAAGGCGGCAAACCATGCCCTTCACTCGAAATCACCCACAAGGGATTGTCTGAACTTTCCCTTGGACGCACCGACCAGCGCCCGCTGAAATTTCTGCGAGTGAGCCGCTTTCTCCACCAACTTCATGAGCGCCGAGAGTTTCTGATCCGTTCTCTCCTGTCTGGGAACCCCACCAGACCCTTGCTCTCTGGAAGCATCTGAGGAGGAGGAGGAGGAGGTTGAAGAAGAAGATGAGGAGAGCGAGTTCAAGATCTGCTGGGCATGTTTCCTCTCCTGCGCCTTCAGTTGGTTGCCGAGGGAAGAGAAATAGCTCTCGAGGTCACCCCGCGCCTCAGACGCGGACATGCCATGGCGATGTTCCTCCCTTCCCCTCTTCCCCTCCACTATGTTGACTGTGACTCCCTGCGCCTTGCGCTTCCTGCTCAACACCGGATAAGCAGCCCAGCCAGAGCCCGAGGAGGGAGCAGCAGCAAGCGGAGCTCTCGCCTGAGCAAGAGGCTGTCCACCTTCGCCACCTGCAGCCTTGAGAGCAGCGTTGAACCTGATCTCAGCCCTTGAAATGTGCCCTGGATCATCTTGAAACGTGTTCTCATAGAGGTTGTCTGCATTCAAACTTTGCTGGTTGTTCAAGCCTGTCCCATACTCGCCGATCTCTTGCTCGAGAACAATTTTCTTCGTGGACGTCTGCCCAGAGCATGAGCCAGCGACCGCACAGAACACACAATACAAAGAAAGATATTTGTGCTTCAGCTAATCAGAACAAGCCTACACCATATCGAAGTAGACATGCAGCGATGCAGTCGGTTGAATCATGTTTGAACAAAATGCATTGAGATTCAACCCCCACACACATTTTCAAGCGTGTCACAACCGTTTGCACATCCCTTCAACCTTCATGTGTCTTTCTTCTACTCATTACAATCTTCTCTGCTTATATTCCTGCCCCTCACCGTGCTATTGCTCGCACTACTTCACACCATATTATGTTTATATTCCTCTCACTGTGTCCTTCGGTATCTAGGTCTTTCTCATGCTCTACCCGTCATTCATTTCTCCTTGCTCTTCCTTCAAGCTCGTCTTCTCGATGACTTACCAGCAGCATCGCCATCGCCAGCATGCCCAGCCCCGCTGCCGCCCATCGGCCTATCGCCATCGCGACACTTCAGCGTCTACCCTACCCTTACCCAACAATCGTTGGAGACCACCCTACCCCCTTGGATATTTTATCGATTCTCCCCCGTCTTTCCCTTAAATTTCAAGGAAAACAGGGGGTCACGGTAACAGCGGGGAGGTAGTAGAGAAGGCGAGGGTTTGGGGGGAGGGTACTAACGGGTGTGGCATGGTTGTTGTGAAAAGCATTTCGAGGAGGCGAAGGGAGTTTTGAATGAGAGCAGCGAGAAATCAAACGATGGCGAGAATCAGGAAAGGAACTAGAATCGCGAGGACGAGGACGAGGACGAGGACGAACTTTACAGAAGAAATCAGGGACATGTTTATAGTTTGAGATTTGCTGTGTATCAGGAATGAGAACAGAGTTGGACAGTTGAGATCGGGGCGGCTTGATAACTTGGCGTGGTTGCATCAGGCTCTTCGAAAACCATGGGGCTTCACACTGCTGCCAAGAATCGCAAGCATCTCATTCACGCCTGTGGACCCTATGGGAATGTAAGGCCCAATGTGTGCACTTGACTTGCAATTTCAGTCGAGAAAACAACATTGTGGCGAAACATTTCTCATTCACCTTCGATGCTCATCTATCTGAAATGCTCATCTACCTGCAATGCTCATCTACCTTGAATGCTCTAGTGCTCTTCATTTCTATGTACTGCGATGCTCTTGTTATGCACTCAATGCTTTCTCCCCTCTCTTCCAGTTGCAGTGTTGAAATCACGTAGTAGTACTATCGCGAGACGGGAAATGACGTCCTTTGCAGTCATGCGGGGGCGGCCAGTCTGTGCACATGCGAGCGTTTCATCACTCGTCTGTGAACATGCCGCTATCGACTATCAAAGGTCTCTATGGCAGTGCGCACAAGCAGTACAGGTTCGCCTTCGCATCGCTTGCTTTGTCACTGATGAGTATGGTCAGTGCTGCAGCAGATGCCAACGGGGGCGACTCCTGGTAGGGGAAGAGAGATTGGTGAGGGTGTCACAAGGAAATTAAAGGAGGTGAGCTAGTTTGTACACCAAGTTTATTCAACGTTAACACAGATTATAACCATGAAATAGATGGATTAAGATTCACACTTGAGTCATGAGAAGAAAGGTGCAACCGACTTTCATGAGTGCATCATCTAATAATCTCACAAGACGCACTGAGGGTGTCAATAGAACCTCTCATGCAGCTTCTGATCCCGGCATGCTTAATTAATGGACTCATCTGCCTTAGCCTTGGCAAACTTCGCTGGAGATCCCGAAAGTCTGCGGTTCTCAGCTTCCGCAAGTTTCGCTTGAATTTTGTTCTCGAGGTCATCTCGAAGCTGAGTCTCCTTGGCCTGCTGTTGAGCAGAGACATCCTTGGCGTGGATGTAGGCAGCAGCTGCCTTCTCCTTCTGTTCCGAGAGAATAATGTTGCGCCTGTCTTCAGCTGCTGACAGCTTCTCTTTGATCTTCTCGTCCATGTCCTGCAGCGATTGCTGCTTCTTGGCTGCGAGCTCTTTCGCCTAACAACACCAGTCATCACCCTTCCATCACAATCAACACCCTATCGTCCCAACCAACACCGTTCATCAAAGCCAACACCCCATCATGGTAGCATCTTATTCTCACGCACACAGACCTTGGCAACTTCCGCCGCTGCCTTCTCCTGAGCCTCGCGAAGCATGCTGGTTCGTCTCTCCTCAGCAGCCGAAAGACGCTCCTTGGAGGAGGAGACGCTCTTATCCAGCTCTTCTTTTTCCGATGCGATCTGCTCCTCTCGCTTCTTCTGAGCCTCTTGAACCCTCTGGTTCATAGCTTTGGTTTGCTCAAGGCACTTCTCAGTCTGAGCCAACCGGTTGGCTTCTGCAACAGCCTGCAAACAATTGAGCGACGCTGAGAGAAAAGATGCTGCTTACAAGTCTGTTTTGGATGCTCTCTGCCTGAAGGTTCGTCTTCTCATTAAACGCTTCTTTCTGTGTGATTGAGACCTCCTTCGCCTTCGAGTAGTTGTCCCTGCATTTCTCAGCTCTTGCCATGAGCAGGTTCTGGAAACAAAATGAGAAGCCATGCAAAGAGAGAATAAACCAACCTTGCGGTTAAGCTCAGCATTCTCCAGATTTTGCTTCAAAGCTGCTGGACTAAGGGGACTTCTGGGCTCGTTTGCACGCGACTCCAGTCTGACTTGAGCAGGGGATTTTGTCCCCTGGACAGGAGATTTCACTGGGACTTCGATAACAACAGATTCGGGCATTCTAATCTTTCAACAATCTGCTGAAGATTTCAGAGGTCAAGCAGTAAACGAAAAATCAACAAGCTGCCGATATACACTGAAAATCAAGATGTATTTTCGAAACCAATCATCAAACGAAAGCAAATCACGCGTGCAATCTCCTAGAAAAGACTCAAAGAGATTAATGATTTGCACAAAAATACTTCATCTTTCATCAAAAATGAACACAATTCAAGCTTCAGCAAATTGAATCAAGCATGAAAGCAGAATACTCATGTTCAGAACACGAGTTTACAAATTATGATGACTCATGGTCGAAAACATGCAGAGAATCAGTATTGAGACATGTAAATGGATCCAAGATCATTTCGACACACACACGACAAGATGAGAAGATAGAGAATATCAGGATCAAGCGGACTAAGCGCATGGAAATCTGATCGAGGATGTTGCGGGTGAGGGTGCATTGGCGGGCGGGAGGTTTGAATTAAATTCCTTGTAGGTTAAAAACTAGATCTACAACTTATTGCAAATATAAAAACGCTTTTTAATTATACGACAATTTATTACCATTTGTCATATTTATAAAATAACTCTGCTACTGTGTGGTCTCCTTCCATCACAAAATTATATATCTTTCTGGGGGTTTCATATTCAAATCTTCAAGTAAAAGTAATTATATAGAAGAGTATAACTTCCTTTTTGTACCATTAAATTGTATCTAAGATTAATTGAGCCCGTCCACTACCTACCTCCTGGACACTGTCCACCTCAATAGCACCCACCCCTACCCCCTCAAGCTAGGGCCTCCCGTCCCCCCCTCCGTGAGCTTTGCCCCTTCCCTTCAACCCCCTACAGCTCTTGACCAAGGGCTACACCCCCCCCCCACCCCTCTACAGCACGAGCCTACCCCACCACCCCTTCACCCTCATCAAATTCCATGAGAAGTACCCCTACACCTATTGCTGAGTAATAAGTGTAGTAGCACCAGGAGCAGCACGGAGCAGCACCTCCCAGACCTCACAAGCTTGTAGTTACGGCGCTGCCCGCAGCATCGCAGCGCGCTTGCAAACCTCTACGCGAACAGTATGCAGCTCTGACGTGACGGGAGACCGTCTGAACATGAACGAAGGCGAGCAGAATGCTGCTCGCAGACAACTTGTTGTGTTTGATTTCGACTGGACCATGATCGAGTGCAACTCTGACACTGAAGTTGTGTTCAAGTTCTGTGCTGACAAAGAAATCTCAAAGAAGAGACTGCAGGAAGCAGCCGCCACGAGGAGCTGGACGAGAGGCATGGACGAGGAGCTAAAGGCGATCAGTGAGCTCGACGTTAAGTCCAAGGACATCCAAGACTTTCTTGCCACCATCCCCATCGAGGCAGAGCTTTTGCGCTTCGTGGAGGAGGCAGCACAGGCGGGCATAGATCTCCGTGTTCTCAGTGATGCGAACTCGTTTTTCATCGAGGGGGTCCTGCAGTCAAAGGGGCTGCTTGGCTGCTTCTCTCGCATAGTCACTAACCCTGTGACGTTGCAAGGAGAGAGGATCGTGGTGTCTCCTTTCCACCAGGACGAGCATCCGGAGGGATCCTCCTCTCCTCCCAACCTGTGCAAGGGGCGAGTGATGAAGGATTGGATCTCGGAGAGGGAGTGGCACTCCGTTGTCTACTGCGGGGATGGCGAGGGCGACTACGAGGGCGTTAATGCGCTGCCTAAGGAAGGGACAGCGCTGGTGAGAAAGGACTGGGGCCTTCACCGCCGCTTAGTTCGAGCAGAAGAGGAGGGGATAGCAGTGCCGCGTGTTGTTGTGTGGGAGGACCAACGAGATCTCGCAGCTTCTCTCTTCAAGTTTCTCTAAATCTTCAACATTCTATGACATAAGTTCCTGACCCCCATCACTTCACAAGTTTCTGACCCCCATCACTTCACAAGTTCCTGCCCCATTATCTATTCACAAGTTCCTGCCCCTCGTACCAGACTCAAACGGCATCGCTATCGAAGGTGGTGCTGTTGCCACGGAGGAAGTGAAACAGCTTCAAGTTCTTCACCGGAGTCTCCGGCCCGTACCTGTAGAGCTCCAGTGCCAGCACTCGCGCGCTGACGTTACATGTGTAATGTCAGTTTGGGGGATGGAGGTGGGGGGTGGGCGAGGCGAAGGAGAAGTAGGAGGGGAGGGGGAGCAGACCTGTACTCATAGAACCTCGACGAGAAGTCTGCGTCGCTGTCCAGCCTTGCCCTCACCTTTTCAAAGGGAACCAGCGCAAGCACAAGCTGCTTGCAATCGTTGGACGCGTAGGTGCTCGCCTGCGAGTACGTGAGGATCAAAAGGACTCAAGAGGAAGAGAGGGAGCGATGAGAGGAGCAGGCTACTTCACCTGGTTTGCAGTGAAATGCTGCAGGAAGTCGATAAGGAACAGCAAGTCGCCGACCTCTGCCCGTCGCGTCACTTGCCCATGTACAATCTCGACTGCGCTTCCCTCCATCACACAGCACAATCTGCACCGGCGAGTGAGCCAGGGACTCTTTTCCTCACGTCCGCAGCCTTACCGTTCGAATGAGCGATCCCTCCTCTTCACTACGATCCTTCCCCTCCTAACCGTCTCCACCTCCCGCACCTCCGAGAGCTCGCCGAAGAGCTCGGGGAAGGACTGCATGGCCCCCACCTCCCCGGGCTTGGCAGGCAGGGGCGAGTTGAAGACTAGCGGCTCCCCGAAGAATTCTTTGAGTCGAAGGAGAACACGGAGACAACCCTGGTACTCGTCTTGCGTGTTGAAGGTCAGCAGTGCAATGTCCTTGTCTGTTCCCAAGTGCTTGCCAGGAGTTCTGAAGACAAGTCACAAGGATAGAAGGATTTGGAGCAGCAAAACATTCGAAGAGAGAGTGCAGGAGAAAGGGAGTTCATGACAAACTTACTGGAAAGAGAAAGAGACGACAAGCACACTCTCTGCCGAGTTTTCTATGGAGGAGAAAATGTTGAGCATGTCCAACCGTACCAAGCCGCTTCTCCCAAAGCAGGTTTTTGCCTCGAAAACGAAATAACTCTGAGCGGAAAGTCACAATCGAAGGAGCACAAGTCAAGAAGATCACAAAGAAGCTGAAAAGGAAAGAAAAGAGGAGAGGAGATACGAGAGGGAGAGGGAGAGGAAAGGATGGTATCAAGGGGCATGAACATTGAATAAGAGAAGGAAGAGGAAAAGTGCGCGTGCTGGCCAAGAGAAGGGATGGTGATGGAGTTGGGATACCTGGGTGACTTTGACCACGCCCGATCCTCGCAGCCTTCCTTCTGCTTTGCAGTCCCACGAGAAGAGGAGGACTTCATGAGAAGGAAGGTTCTGGAACGTGTCTGAAGTCTCCGGTACCCGCATCATATAGCTCTCTGATTGGGCCTCGTCCTGTGCTTGCGCTTCCTCCTCGGAAGTCATCAGCTGAGCTCGCCACTGGCCTGTCCGACTTGGCACAGCCTCGTCACTCTTGCGCGGGATGGAACGCAAGGATCCGCCAGTCTGAAAGCTGCCGCCAGAGCTGAATCTGTCGAGGGAGCTCATGCTGGTGTTGAAGTTGGTGCGGAGGAGGGAGAGGGACGTGGGGTGGCTGATGCTACTCCATAGCTTGGAGGAGCAGACGATGGCGAGGAAGTGGAAGAGACCTGGAGGAAGAAGAATGAGACGCTCTGTGCTGGAGGAGGAGCATCACCTTGGATCTTCTGCTTCCCGCGCCGCACGTGCTCCTTGTCCAGGGTATAGACCATCGAGTCTTGGTTCGCAACGTAATCCACTTGCACGCAGAAATCAGCCAGAGGGAAGTAGCTAGATATGCGAGGAGCGGAGAAGAGAGGAGAGAGGAGAGAGGAGAGAGGAGAGAGGAGAAGAGAGGAGAAGAGAGGAGAAGAAAGAGGAAAGTGCAACGAAACACGGCAAAAAAATATCGTCCGTCCATGACGGCAGGAGGAGGTGAGAAGCAGCCGGAAGCGAGACAATGTGATGGTATCGAGTGGAAAAGGAGCAAGTGAGGGCAGGGAAACCCTCCTTTCTCCATCACCATCTCCACGTCCTCGTTGAAGACGATGTAGCGCTTGGTGGAGCCGAAGGAAGGAGTTGCTGGCTCGCTGGAGTAGAGCAGACGTTGCAAGAACGACCTCCTCCTCATCCCACGACGAGGACTTTCTGAAGGGACGGCAGCAGCAGCAGACGAAGCAGCAGAAGCACCAGCTGCTGCTGCTGCTGCTCTCTCTGCCTCGTGATGTGCTCTGGTGATCCTGCTTCACGTTAGTGTCCATGAAACTTGATCCTCCCCACGCGCTCCTCCTCTCACCCATTGTTGATAGACGTTAAAGATGCCTGGGAGGTGATGGAAGGGGCCGAGCTCGAGGGGGCTGAGGCGGAGGAGCCTGTCAGGAGCGACCACGTGCGGAGGCTCTTGTGGCGGTGAAGCAGCGGCATGGTACTGGCAGGATCAACCTCCTCATAGAAGATCTGCTCGTTGATTAGAGGGAAGCAAAAACTATCGCCAGAGGAATGCGAATCAAAGATGCAACGAAGAGCAGTTTGGACAGGAACGAGAATGACGAGAGGGGGAAAGAGCTGGATGAAGAGGAGAAGAGAAGGGGGAGGGGGAGAGGAGGAGAGGAGGATGGGGAGGAGAGTGGAGAGAAAAGGAGAGAAAAGGAGAGGAGAGGAGAGGAGAGAAGAGGAGAGAAGAGGAGAGGAGAGGAGAGGAGAGGAGAGGAGAGGAGAGGAGAGGAGAGGAGGATGAAAAGGTTCTACCTCAATGTAGGCATCGTCGTCAAGCAGCTGCTGAGAGTTTTCTTGAACGCGACGCCGACATCGAGCGAGGAGCGAAAGAAACGTAGAGGAGAGTTGCCGGGCATTCCAGTGTGCAAGCAGAGGAAGAAAATCGCCTGCTCAGCGGTGGTGCCCTTGCACACGTTGTGATAAAGCTCCACACGAAAGTCTTCTCGCACAAGAGGATCTCTCTCACTATAGAGTAGATCATGTCAAGATCCTTGCCCTCCTCCTCCTGCCACTCCTCGTTCCCTTCCTCCTTTCCTCCTACCTCCCTCACGCTTCCCCCTTCTTGTTTCCCCTCTTCTCTCCCCCTCTTCGCCCTCCCTCCCCCTTCCCCGTCTCGTTTATCAATCTCTTCCACCAGCAGCTTTTCACCTTGAGCTGGGCGACAAGCACATGTTGACCGTTGAGCCGGACTGAAACTTAGCTCGCTGCTTCATCCCCAGACAAGAAATGCCTCCAGTCGACTGCCAAGGACTCAGATGAAAGAAAGGGCCAGAGAGGAAGGAAGATAGCGAGGAGGACGACAGAGGGAAGGATAAAGGAGAACGGAGGACGGAGAAGAAGGAGAGAGCAGAGAGGAGTGGGGAGCGAGAAGGGGAGGGAAGGGCGGATGCGAGAAGGGAGGAGAGAGGAAAGAGGAGGGAGGGAGGAGGGGAGGAGGGAGGAGGGGAGGAGGGGGAGAGGTAGAGGGAGGAGGAGAGGAGGAG